GAAGGTGACACTCTATCCACTGAGCCAAGCCGGCTAGGGCGGTTGATTTTTTTAAAAAAGGTTTTTTTATTGATTTTCCTTTTTTGAGAGAGAAGTGAGAGGGGGAGAGAGAGAAACATTGATGTGAGAGCGAACATCGATTGGCTGCCTCCTGCATGCCCTCTACTGGGGATCAAGCCCACAACCCTGGGCATGTGCTCTGACAGGGAATCGAACCCACAACCTTTAAGTGTATGGGACCACGCTCCAAGCAACTGAGCCAGGGCTGGTTGATGTTTTTATTTCTGCTAGCCAGGGAACTACCCCAGAAGGACACTCTAATACCCGAAACCTGCGTTAACTGGCAGCAAAGCTAGTCTGCAACACCCATCTTTTGTACAAACCAAGAGTCCCCGGGCTCTGAGCCAGCAGAGTGTGCTGGCTCCCCAGGGAGGAGGGTCCAGGTACCTCGAGGATGTCGGTGTTGGTGCGGCTCTCGTGGGGTTCGCTGTACTCCGTGTACTTGAGGAGCACACGGTCCATGTCCGTGCTGGCATACTGGAAGAGGCGGTTGGCGCTGTTGAAGATGATGAGAGCAATCTCACAGTCGCAGAGCACGCTCAGTTCGTAGGCCTTCTTCATCAGCCCAAACTTCCTTTTGGTAAATGTCACCTAGACCCAGCACCCACAGGTGAGAGGGAGAAGACAGAGATTTGGGGTGGGGTGGGGGAGGTGGAGGGGCCTAACTGTTTTCTGAACATGCCTCATGATTCTGTGCCTCTGTATGTGCTGTTCTTTCTGGCTGTTCTTCTCACTTCTCAACCTGGCAAACTCCTATTGATGCTTCAAAACCCATCCCAAATGACCCCTCCTTTGGGAAGTTGTCCTTGGTCTCCTAGGCAGAGCCCATACTCCCTCTCTGAGCTTCCCCAGTTCTGTGCCTCCCTCTGACCCAGGCCTCTGATTCGGGTGTGTTTGTGTCCAGGTCCATCTCCTCTGTGACCAGGACTTCAATAAATCATTATGAAAATGAGCAAATGCTACATCTCAAACTCCAGACTTGTCTTCAAGACTCATTCCCCTACAATTCCCCCAAATCGCTAGGCCTTTGCCCAGGCTGTGTCCCCTGCCATGAATGCCTTCCCACCCAATGAACTCACTTGACGATTCCTTTGGTCCAGAATGCGTGAGATCTGTATTTTTTTCCTCCCCATCGTCCTAGGCTGGGCAGAGCAACCTTGGTCTGTGGGAGAAGGAAAAGAGGACAGAGTGAGTGGGTGGAAAGTGGGGTCAGGCAACCAGCTTTCCTTCTGTCCTCCACTTCCCCCTGCCAGGCACTGAGGAGAGGTGATGGGGGAATCGAGGCAGGCTGGGCCACCCCCAGGGCCCCCATTCTCAACCAGACCAGGATACAGTCGATATTCAATGAGCACCTTTGCACCAATTCCACATGAGGCGAAGGCTCACCTAGGCCCAAAGATGGCAGTGCAGATGCTCCTGCCCCAGCATCTAAAACATTACCCCCTGGTACCTATGGGCCTCAGGAGCCTGACTGCCTGGGCACCGTCTGCAGTAGGGGGTAGTGTGTGTACTGCTCATTGTTGCTGGGGACAAAAGGAGCTAACCTTCCTGCCTGGCACATAGCAGATGCTGCATACGTATTGCTATTATGAATATTGGCAACAGCCTCAGCGCCCCCAACAGGCCAGGCTGGAGGGACATCGCTGCAGCGCTCGGTAATCCTGAGCCTCTGAAAGCGAGCCCGATCCGCCCGTCGGACACCTTTCATCTCATTCAACACGCAACAGCTCCTCAAACTAAGATCGAGGCCCGCGGTTACCAAAACAAAACAAGTCCGGCTGGTGTAGCTCAGTGGTTGGATGCTGACCTATGAACCGGGAGGTCAGGGCACATGCCTGGGTTGTGGGGCTCAGGTGTGTGTGTGTGTGGAGCGGGGGGCCTGCAGGAGGCAGCCGGTCAATGATTCTCTCTCATCACTGATGTTTCTCTCTCTCCCTCTCCCTTCCTCTCTGAAATCAATAAAAATATATTTTAAAAAATAAAGTGCACAATTCGGTGATAGTTATTCACAATGTAGAACCATCGCCTCTATCTAGTTCCAGAAATTTTCATCCCCCCAGAAAGGGACCCCATTCCCATGAGTAGTCACTCCCCATCCCCTCCCCTGACCCCTGGCAACCACTGACCTGCTTTCTGTCTCCATGGCTTTGCCTGTTCTGGACGTTTTATGTAAATGAATCACACAATGTGTGGCCTTTCGTGTCTTCTCCCCCTGCCCCTTTTTTGATGATCTGAACTTTCCAACTTTCCCCTCAGTGATTATGGACTATTTCTATTTTTTTAAAAAATTTTAATTAAAAAATAAAAAAACAGAAACCCACCCCGGCCCCACTTTCTACCAGGAGGAAGTAAGGATGCCCTGGAACAGGGGTGGGCAACCCCTGGCACCCGTGCCAAACATGGCACGCCAGTAACCTTTGTTGGCACGCGAAACCCTCTCTTATAATCTTCCATTTACAATTTTTTTCTTAATATCAACTTTTTTATTTTTCAGATAAATTCAATGTAGGCACATCCCCAGTAGGGGGTGTGCAGGAGGCAGTTGATCAATGTTTCTCTCTCATCGATGTTTCTAACTCTCTATTTCTCTCCCTTCCTCTTTGTAAAAAATCAATAAAACATATTTTTAAAAAAATTAAGGTTGGCACGCAGAAGAATTTTGAGTCAGAGATTTTGCTGGTTTTGGCACGCACTCACAAAAAGGTTGCCCACCCCTGCCCTGGAAAGACCTTAGGCTTGGAGCCCTCAGACCCTGATTTGGGCCCAGGGCAAGTTGGGCGACACCCTGGACCCTCCTCCCGGGGATCTCAGATCTCCCCAGTGTGAGCCCCAAAAAGTGAGAGTGGGCAACTCAGGGAGGACAGCATGTCCCCAAGACAAGCAGCATGTTGGGGTCCAGGCCTTCCCCAGTGCCCCCATGCAGGGATCCTTGGCACGAAGAAACCTGTCGTGAGGCACCCGCCATGCTGTACAGTCAGCCACCCCAAGGCCCCGAGATCCCTGACACCCCTCCACTCTTCTGTGACCACACTTGACCCCCCGCCACTCCCATGTCACAGGTGCCTGCGGCAATGTCACAGGCTGCCCAGGGTAAGGGGGCCAGGCTCAGATCCCAGCCAGTCTCTGACCCCCTGGGCAGCCCTCAGCCAAGGGGGCCTCCCCTGGGCTCAGATTGCTGTTCTGTGAATGGGGTGGGTATGACATGCAGAGCACCTGGCACAGACCGGGGAACAAGCCCTGGGGAAGCTTGTAGGGAAATGAGGTCTGTCTCTACGAGTAGCCATAGCTGCTTCTCTGACCTCCGCCTGAGGGGTCTGGGTGGGACCCCCTTCATCCCAGAGGCCCAGGGCCCAGGAGTGTCAGATGCCTTGGCCATCATAAGTGGCCCTCTGTGTGGCCCCAGGAGTGTCCTCTACCCTCTCTGGGCTGGGTCTCTGAGCAGTCGCAACTATGCAGAGCCCAGCTGATGAGAGCCCCACCAACCCCCTAGCTCCGGATTGATTTGCTAAATTTAACCTCGGGGGCTAATTTTAATCCCTGGCTAGAATCAGACTCGTTCCCACGGCTGGGATGTGTTGCCCTGGCCCTGATGGATCCCCGGGGACAGAAGTGGGGCACTGGTCCGGAGGTCCCGGTGCCAAGATGACTCCGGAAATGCCCCCCACGCCTGGGGTCCCATGGGAACATGGGACTTGAACCTGAGAATCTGAGCCTGGAATATCTGACTCCAGCCCCTTCTCAGTCTGTCCCCATTTTAGACAAGGACATCCCTGCTAGGGCAGGGGTCACACAATAGGGGAGCCGCAAGCAAGAGCCAAAAGGTCAGGAGGGTCTCTCAGAACTGAGACCCAAGAGCCGAGACAGGAAGTGAGTTCCAGCCAGAAGGGACAGCAGGTGCAAAGGCCCTGAGGCGGGACAAGACACAGCAGCAAGGCTGGACGGAGGAGCTTGAGGGAGAGGCCTGAGAAGCAGGGCCACGCTGGGTCCTCTGAGCTGTGGGAAAGGCTGTGAGTTTGGGTCTAGGAGCAACGGAGAGCCAGGGGAGGGTTTGAGAAAGAAGGATGGAGTTTGAGTTACCATTGAAAAACCTGTCCATGCTGGGGGGTGGCCGGATACTGGAGAAAAGGCCAGAGCCGCATCCATCTGGGCAGAGACGGGGTGAAGTCACGGTATCCCAGGTCTCTTTGGGTCCTTCAGAAGGTCCCACATCCTCTGCCTTCCCCGGGGCCCGGCCCAACAGGCACAGATGGGCTCACACTCTTCTAACCTTCAGTGACCCTGGAACTCCCAATCCTCACACAGGAACTACAGCTTTGGCCCTTGAGGGACCAACCCAACACAAAGCTTTGGTCATGACCCTCCCTGCTCACACATCTTCATGGCTCCCTACTACCATCAGGAGAAAGTTTCAGTTCCCAGCCTGGCATTCAAGGCCCTGCCCCAGCCAATCCCTGCCCACCGTTCTCTACCTTCAACAACTCTTATTCACACTTCAAAACCCAGCTCAAAAAATCCATCCCTCCCCCTGGCCTGTGTGGCTCAGCTGGTTGAGCATAATCCCATGAACCAAAGGTGGCTGGTTTGATTCCTGGTTGGGGTTTCAGGCTTGATCCCTAGTAGGCGGCACGCAGGAAGCAGCGGATTGATGTTTCTCTCTCCCTGTCCCTTTCTCTCTCTCAAATCAATAAAAACATATTTTAAATATAGTGTGTGTGCTTTAAATCCCTCCCTCCAGGAAGCCCTCCTGATCTCAGCCTAGACCGCTACAGCGGCCATCCTTCCCCTCAGTTCTGACCCCATGGGGCTGGGATGTGTACATCCGTGGAGCTGGGATCCAGACTGGAAGCCTCGGGATCAGATATAGGGGTTGTTGGGCAGATCGGGTGAATGGAGCAGGTTAAAAGAGACACGTCTGAACTACCCCCAGTTTCCCTCAACAACTTCCTCTCAGACTCCCCCAGCTGACTCCCTACCCAGAAATACACGCGCATGCAAATCCAGCCACTGAGTGGACCTGTCTCAGGCCCAGGTGTGAAGGGCCAGCCAAGGAATGTGGGGGTGGAAGACCCAGGGTGTGCATATATATTTGTACTCACATGCAAATCCCCACCCCGAGCCGCAGACAGACCAGCAACCAGCGCTCCAGATGTTGGCGTGATCGGAACTGCTGGGGGGAGGTGGTGGTGGCTGCTGAATGTGCCAGGCACGAGGGGGGGAGGCTGAGGTTTGGGGAAGCCTCTTCTGTGCATCCCCACACCGAGGTCCAGCCAGAAAGCAGAGAGTTTGTGGCATCTGCCCAGCAGAGAGGCAGAGAGGTAGACCCATGGACAGGAAATGGAGCAAGGAAGGAGGGCCAGGAGAAATCCAAGAGGGCATCTCAGAGGAGGAAGCATGTAATTGGGCCTCAGTGGAGAGACTGGATGGGGCCTGAGCAGATGGCAGTGGGGTGGTCATTTGAAACCGAGATACCACTTCCCCACCCCTTTCTTCACCCCCTTATACTTTATTAAGATCAACCGTGCTCCGGCCACTGTGATAAGCAGACCTCAGAAGCAGAAAGTGTAAGTAGAGCAATGGCCACGGAAGACTGGCAAAGTGACTGCGACCTACCATGAAAAGACCGTGGGCCCGGAGGGCTGTGTGGCTGTTTTGTCAAACCGTAAAGGACACAATGTTATCTAAACTAACTCAGACCTTTGAAAACAATGGGAACTGCCCAGGTCATTTCCCTGAAACTTTCGTTTGTCTGAAGTCCAAAACGAGTGGAGGACTGACTATGAAAGGGGCAGCGTCAGCCAGGGGTTTCGAGAAGGGCCTCTCTGAAGAGGTGACACTTGGGCCAAGACCTGCAGCACGAGAAAGGACAGTAAAGGGAGGGAAGCCAGTGGTGGGAGATCTGGGGAAGGTGGTTCTTGCAGTGGAACTGCAAGGGCCAACGGTCATAGTGATCATGAGTTTGGCATTTGGGGAAAAAACACACAACAAAAAGCAAAGAAGTCTTCATGGCTAGACAGCATGGTGAGGAGCATGGTGGTGGGGAGGGCGGTGGAGGTTGGGTCATTTAGGTATTTGTGGGCTTTACTCTGAGGGCAATGGGAAGCCATGGAGAGTTTGGGGGCAGGGGAGGGTCAGGATACGATCTTACAGTTTAAAAAATCCCCT